CGTAGGCTAGATGGTTCCAATACCTTGAATTACTTCTCGAGAATAAGATTCTGGAAAACTATTATTTCTTCAAATATCTCGGATTATTTCATTTATTGAACTTTGAATTTGAAAGCTACAATTTATGGATAAGAACTTTTCAACTAAAATACTTCTTCAACTTGTCCGCATTCCAAGTCCTTTTGGCTTGCTTCCCCTTTGAGGTTTCCAGCATATAGGCTCCCTTTGATAGTTTAGCTTTAATTTTATACGGTCCTTCCCATCTTGGAGCCAGCTTTCCTTCAGTCGTGTTCTGACCTCTGATGTCCGCCCTTCGAAGAAGCAGGTCTCCTACCACAAATGATCGCGGCTTGACCTTCTTGTTAAATTGGTTTGCCACGAGCTGCTTTGCTGCAACATTTTTGCAATGAGCAGTGGCTCGTGCTTCATCAATCAAATCCAACTCCATAGCTATTTTTCCGCTATTCTCTTTTTCTGTTTGCAACAAAGCTTGGGCCCTCCGCCAAGATGGTTCTCCCAGTTCCACCGGGATCATGGCCTCGGTTCCATATGTCAATCTGAATGGAGTTTCTCCCGTAGAGGTTTGCACTGTGGTTCTGTGTCCCCATAGTACATACCATAGCTCCTCTACCCACTTCCCCTTGGCACACTGCTCCATCCTTTTACGCAATCCGGCTATGATGACTTGGTTTGCCGCTTCAACTTGGCCGTTGGAATGAGGATGTTCAACAGACGCGAAACAATGCCGGATGTGAAGATTTGCCATTAGTTCTTGGAAGGTTCTGCTTGTGAACTGGGTTCCATTATCGGTGACCACTTCAGCTGGAATCCCAAACCTGCAGATCAAATTTCTTTCAAAAAAGCGTTGCACCCTTGCCGTGGTAATTGTTGCTACTGGCTCTACTTCTATCCATTTGGTGAAGTAATCAATAGCCACTATTAACCACTTTAACTGTCCTTCAGCCGCAGCAAATGGGCCCAGAAGGTCCATCCCTCATTTGAAGAATGGTCATGGAGCTGTGATCAAGCTTAACTCTTCTGGTGGTGCCAACAGGTTCTTACCGTGCTTCTGGCGCTGATCGCACTTCTGTACGTGCTCCTTTGCGTCCTGACCCATAGATAGCCAAAAGTATCATGCTCTGAGGGCTTTTCGAGCTAATGCTTTTCCCCCTCATGGATTTCAGATAGGACATATTTTGCCCTATCCGAGCTCAGGCATTTCAATAGGCGGAATAGATTCCCTTCCTATATAACTGCCTTTCAACCATAGTGTATAACGCAACATCCTTAACTAGCTTCCGAGCTTCTTTCTTTTGAGAGGGGAGCGTCCCGTTTTCTATGTAACCGATAATGGTACTACGCCAATCCCTGCTCTCAGATATTTGCATGACACACATGGGTTCTCGGATGTCCTGCTCCACCACTGTCCTGTGGTTTCCCCATCCTTTGGTACCTTCCAGTTTTGAGAGTATGTCGACCCTACTATTTTCATTTCGTTGGATGTGACAGACTTCTACATTTTTGAACTCCGTCATTAACTGTCTTGCAGAATCTAGGTATTTTGCCAACAGTGGTCCTTTAGCTTGGCAGCTTCCTCCAATTTGCAACGTGACCAGCTGCGAATCACTAAAGATTTGCAGTTTCCTTGCTCCGAGCTCTTTTGCCTGATGTAGCCCAGCTATGAACGCTTCATATTCTGCTTGGTTGTTGGACGTTTCAACTTTCATTTGCAAGGAATATTCAACCGAGATCCCTTCCGGGTTCTCAATAATTATTCTGGCTCCACTTCCTTTGGAATTTGAGTACCCGTCCACATAAATTTTCCAGGTGTCTGGAATTGTTGAGCTCTCCTTTTGGATTGAAGTAAGCTCCCTGACAAAGTCTGTCAATGCTTGGGACTTGATTACCTTTTGGCTTTCAAAGGATATGTCAAATTCTGATAGTTCCACAGCCCAGGCCATCATCCTTCCTGCCAAATCAGGCTTATGTAAAACCTGCTGAATTGGCAAGTCCGACCGAACTACAATCTGGTGCCCTTGAAAATACGCTCTAAGCCTTCGAGCCGAGGTTAGCAGAGCAAAAGCCACCTTTTCTAACTTCTGGTAGCGGAGCTCTGCTCCCTGTAAGAGCCGACTTACAAAGTAAATTGGCTGCTTCCCCTCCTCATTTTCTTGAACCAAGACCGAGCTAACAGCGAGATCTCCCACAGAGAGATACATTATCAGTGGCTCCCCTTCTCTTGGGCTAGATAGCACTGGTGGTGATGCCAGCTGCTTTTTAATTTCTTCGAATGCTGCTTCACATTCCGAAGTCCAGCCATATCGTACCTCATTTCGTAACAACTTGAAAAAAGGCAGTACCGTTTCTACAGACCGAGGTAAAACCTAGTGAGGGAAGCTAGCCTCCCAGTCAACTGTTGGATTTCCTTCAGTTTGTTAAAGGTTAGCTTCAATACCTCTGTGAGTCAGCAAGGACTCTAAATGCACATTTAGCCGGGTTTAGCCGAATGTTGTGTTGCCGCAGTTTGTTAAAGGTCTGCTCTAGGTCTTCAACATGCAATGCTGAATTAGTTGATTTGACTATCATATCGTCTATATACACCTCCACATTCTTGCCAAGCTGATCTGCAAATACCTGATTCATCATCCTTTGGTACGTGGCCCCTGAGTTTTTCAATCCAAAAGGCATCACATTATAACAATAGTTTGCCCTTTCTTCAATGAAAGCGGTCTTTTCTTGATCTTCGGGGTGTAACGGGATCTGATTATACCCCGAGTACGCATCCATAAAGGATAACATCTGGAACCCGGATGAATTATCCACGAGCTGGTCAATGTTGGGCATGGGGTATGCGTCCTTGGGACATACCTTGTTCAGGTCAGTGTAGTCTGTACATACCCTCCATTTCCCATTTGGCTTTTTCACCATGATTACGTTTGACAGCCAGGTTGTATGTTGTATTTCTCTGATGAATCCTGCTTCTAGCAGCTCCCTTATGTGATCTTCTAACACTTGGCGACTTTCCACACTGAGTTTCCTTTTCTTCTGAGCCACCGGTTTAGACCCCGGGTATACTGCAAGCTTGTGACAGCAGAATTGAGGGTCCACGCCAAGTATCTCTGAGGACTTCCAGGCAAAGACGTCCACGTTCCTTCTTAAGAACTCAGTAATCCGAAACTTGTCCTTATTAGCTATCCCTTTTCCAACTTTGGCTATTTGAGTTTCTTCTCCAATAACTACCTCCTCCAGCTCCCCATCTGGTTCCGGTCTTGGGATCTGAGTTTCATCCCTCATGTCCAATTCCACCATGTTTACCGGTGTAGTTTCCTTCTTGGAGGCTTCCGGTTTATTGTTGGTGCTCAACCCACCTGGCGTTTTAAAGCTACTGCTTATTGCTCTAACTGACTTAAAGTAACAGCCCCGAGATTCTTTTTGGTCCCCATGAATGGTGATGATCGTATTCTGCTTACCAACCATTTTAAGCTTCTGATGCTTAGTGGAGACCAGCATATCCCAATCGTGCATAGTTGGTCTTCTCAAAATTACATTATACTCCGATGGGAAGTCGGCAACGATGAATCTTACCATTTCTGACTTATAAGCCTCCTTTGTTCCCAAGGTGAGCCTCAGATCAATGTACCCCTTAGGAATAGTATCACAACCATTGAATGCCATCAAAGTCGTGTTGCAAGGCTTCAGATCCTCCACATCCAGTTCATTTTCTGGAATGCCTGCCACAGAATTATGTCGGCACATCTGCCGTTATCCACAAACATTTTCTTGACTTTACAGTTGACTAGTGTCCCGGTGATGACTAGCCCGTCAACGTGCCCCGGCATGACATCTTCCAATTCTGCTTTTGTAAAGAACAATCGTGGTGCTTCTGATTCCTCTACTTTAAACTTAGGCCGCTCTCGAATTGAAAGCACCTCTCTTAAGTATTTTCTTCTGGCATTCATGGTATCACCTCCTCCACCGAATCCTCCACTAATAACATTGCATTCGAACTCGGGCTCTACGAATTCGTCATCTTCTTTGGCCGGCTTCTTACCTCGGCCTTCATCCTTGAACTTCTTCTCTCGGTTCGGGCTCATCGGTCGTCCTCCTTTTCTCTTCTTATTGTTCTTCCATCCTTGAGTTCGTATGAGAAACTGACGCAACTTTCCCTCCCTGATATATCTTTCAATTGCGTCTCTGAGATCCCAACACTCCTCGGTTGTGTGACCAGGGCCATCATGGAACGCGCAATATCGTGATTGATCAAGCCCGACTTGATTCAGTAGTGGTCGAGGTCTGTCCACCCTTTTCATCTCGGTGGATACCACTTCCCTCTAGATTTGGGACCGGGAGGAATTTAATGGCGTATACCTGTCAAATCTTATTTTGGATAAATTTTTCTCTTCGGGTCTTTTACCCCGGAAATCATTTTGCCTTCGGTTTCCGGGTTTTTCTACCTGGCTTTGGTGCGGCCTTGGGTCCGCGTTTTCAATCTCCATCTGTTCGAGCTCCAAGTATTTTTTGGAACGAGTAGTGAACTCAACTAGAGTTCATACAGGGTCTTTATAGACGGACTTGGCCAACCTGGAAGATCCGTGAAGGCCGGCAATCACCAAATGAAGGTGAACATTTTCGGATAGCCATTGAACTTGTAACGCGGCCATCTTGAAGCGGTCCAAATATTTCTGCAGGGTTTCGCCAGGTTGCTGCTTTATTTCCCCAGCGCGAATTCGGACTTCGGCTGTCTTTTGCTTGTAGCAAAATTTAACAAGAACCTGCCTCCGAACTCTTCAAACGACCTGATGGATCCTGCTGGCAGAGAGGAGAACCACGACTGAGCTGCTCCTGTCAGGGTGGTTGCAAATAACCGGGTTATCAGCGGCTCTTCAATCCCCTTAATGTACATTGTCGTATCAAAGGCATCCAAATGCACCTGAGGGTCTTGCGTTCCGTCATATTTTGGAATTTCAGACAGATTTAGGTTATCTGGATATTGTGCATTCACAATTTCGTCCGTGAATGGGCTGTCATTATATTGCCCCCTATGATACTTCCTCCTGTAGACCTCGGACACATCGTTCGGGTTCAGGTTCGGTCTCTCTTGTTGTCCCTTGTTCCTATTGAGAACCTCGGGTCCTTGATTATGAACCACATTGGGGGTGCTTCTTTGAGGCCGGCTTCTGACGTTTCCAACCCCTCTTCCCTGGGCCTGAGTCCCATTAGGGTTCGCCTGGGTGCCTGCAATCCGTAGGTCATTCATGACCCATGTTATTTCCTGCTCCGGGTTCGGGTTGGTAGCTTGACCCACTCGGGCCTCCAGCTCTCGCATTTGTCTGGCAGCTTCCTCCCTTTCCAGCCCGTGTCTCCTCTCTATCTCCTGCATTCTCTGAAGCACTGCGGCAACTGCCAGATCTGTTACCCGCGAATCAGCGACTGCACCAATCGGTGCCTGTGCAGTATCTGCTATTTGTTCCTCCGTCGGCTGTAAACCCTACACGTAAGGAGCGTCTTGGTTAACAGCTGGAGTCGATGCCGAATCGGAATGCACATCACTCACGTGCACGGCATCGGTATCTATCTGTCGTCGATCCACAGGATTCTCCCTAATTGGAGAAATAGGTTGGATTCTGGAATTCGATCTTGATGGTTGTCGAAGTCCACTTCTTGTTACTCTCACCATCGTGGCTTTTGATCATGTGGTCGTGAAAAGTTCCCCACAGACGGCGCCAATGTTCTGCCTGAGGCAGATATGTCCGACAGAAGGTCGGGTCTTTGATGTTGGATCTAGGACTTTCTCTCTAGATACCTATGAACTAGGTATCTTGGGGAAAACTGATCACTACACACTATTTGTTACATACGTACACGTGTAAGTCATCCTCACTCAACCGTAAGATGACACAGTCATCGTGCAATGGGCGGTTGAGATGAGGGACAAAGTGGTCACTTCAAGAGGACACGTCACCTATCACGTCGCATTAATGCGTCGTGCCTCATGACGCTTGGATACCTGCAATAAATGGCAATGATGGAAAAACTCATCATTACGGCTCCTCGAAAACCAAAAAGCCACCCGAGAGTGCCAGAATGGGCAGCCTTTTTCGAAACATCATCAGCCAATCACCACTGAACCACGAGGATGTTACAGCTGTCATCGGAAGGAACGACTCACACCCAGTACTTTTGTATCGCCAAGCAAGGCGTTGTCCAATTGTCTACCTTGGCACCAACCTACACTTGCTACCAAGCTGGCGGGCTCCTGTTCCGGATGGCCCAACAAGAGTCGGGCCCAATAGTCAAGGCCCAGCACCTACCAAGCATCCACGTCAGCCCTACCAGCTGGGGCGACGCGTACCCCCCAATGTGGTAACTTCCCAAGGCTAAACACCAAAGTATCCCACCTAGGGACCTCAACTCCCGAAAGCGGTCGCCCAAATGCCTTAAGAGGAAAATGTCCCCCTGTGACCTATACTGACACCGCCAGACGCAGAAGGCACAGCGCTGCTACGATGGCAGCGCCTGACACGCCCAACACTGCCATCGGCATATGGCCCCAAGGAGAGTTGACCTTCTATCCACAACCTTCACTCGGTAAGCACAATATTCCCTTATAAATAGCTCCCAAGGGCACCCCCTAGAGCATCTTATGTATCGTTATACTGTCCATTTCCTTAGAGTCATTTTATCACCCTAGCTTATCCATTGATTACTTTGCTTGTACTTGGCACCATACCCCTTAGCTTGGTCTATACCTGTGCTAAGGGTATCATCCATACATTAACTCATCCCTAAAGGAAACATAGTGGGCTTATAGATTCTAACGGTATAGGTTCAATTAGTAATATGCTTGAGCAGAACATCCTAAACAAAGCAAAAAGCCCAAGTCTGAAGAACAAAAACTTCAAACAAGATAAACTCGTAAGTGCAGTTTCATTGATGTCATGGTACAAGGAAGAACTACAATGATTAATTTGTAGCCTAAAAATTATAAGCTCCGTTCATATGCCGTTCACATAATTTGCTTCAGAAAAACACATATATAACTAAACACATGTTTAAGCACAAACTATGAGACGTACGGCTATTAGCTATGGTTCTCCAAGTTGCTCAGAATTCAAAGACAAAAAATCCCACCTTAAGAACAGCATGCATGTCTCACGTCCCTTCAATTCCATCTGGTGAAAGTAGCAGTTATGTTATCATATTATACTTATTTACTATAAAAGGATCATGCAATATATTATAAGTTTTAAGGCAAATATTTGCATTCAAGAATCAGGTTGGCTGTCATAACGGTCCTTAATAATCTATTCAACTTTCAACACCCAGGGATCTCCTAATTTCAGTTTCCTACGCACCATTGCAAGGCTTGTGTTTCCTAATATATGAAAATTATTGCAACAGATCATCACTGTTAACACTGAAAGGAATGTGAAATCAGTACACACACTTTGACCATCTTGTTGCATGCTTATTTTGTAATTTTGAATATTTGTATGAAATTACAGATATGTTATTTGTTAGGGAAATACCATTGTCAGCTCGAGCGCATAAGCGGAGTCCTGACTGATGGTGATTTTTCTTTTCTTTCTGAATTTAGAAATAAGGTTCATGTATCTAAAGTAAAAAAATATTCATCCTACAAAAAATACACCTGAGTGTTTATAAGCTCGATTGTTTCACGTCATCACCCTATTTGTTAAGGGTAGGTAGAATATAGTACATAGAGTGAGGTAACGAATTAAACTAGTTTGCAAAAGCTTTATATATTATGGCTATCTTAAGAAAGCTTACTGGACTCCAAGCTCACCCACCATGCCAGAATAATTATATATATTATGGCTATCTTAAGAAAGCTTACTGAACTCCAAGCTCACCCACCATGCCAGAATAATTTATATGTAGAAAAAATAAATATAAGAAATATACTGATTAATGCAGTGAGACATCAAATCAAAATAGATCACTTGCAAAATGATCATCCAATGTTTCAATAATACTGCTGCTTGTGTTTACAAAAAAATAAAATTAACACTGCTGCTTGTATAGAAGAAGAAAAAAGAAAACAGCAAGATTTGGGATTTTATAAAAGAAATCACCAGACCACTAACAATGAACAATTGATTACAGTAACAAGTAGAATCCAATTTAATCCCTTTGCTTGGGAAACATTAAGAGAAGGGAAAGAGTAGGAAATGAAAATTTTCAATGAGTCCAGGCATTATACATAGATTAACTTTACCAATTTCAATCTTCTTACTTTTTTTCCACTCCTCTTTTCATTTCCCAAACAAAAGAAAAGAGAAGCAATTATTACATTGGAAATCCACACAGACTTCCAAACAACAGTAGAAGCCGCCAACAAAAGGAAGCTCTATTCTAATATTGCCGAAGAGATTATTAAATGTTAACAGAACGCTTATTTTTACATACCAAAAAACTTACACAACCAAACAATGAAAAAGCCACAGAAGATAATGTTGAACTGCCAAAAGAAGACGAGTTGGCTGAGACAGATCCAGGCCAGCCAAAAACAAATGAATTTTGTTATGCGATGGCTTGAGGTGGTTGATGGAAGTGCATGATTTTGGATGTTGTCAGTATGTGTTATGGTGTATAGTATTGGGTATAGCTCATACTTCGCATGTTGATGAGGGTCCTTGTTGTCGGGGTCAGCAGAAAGGCAACTAGGATAAAGGGTGTGTTCTATTATCTTTATGTTACATCTATGTTATGAAAGCATGAAAGGCTGAAGGGGACAGACATTATTAGAGCTGAGATGCTTTGTGGATGCTAATTGGGGATGTGACATTGATAGTAGAAAGTCTACAAGTGGATATGTTGTTTCCTCATTCGACAGAGCTATTAGTTGGATGAGTAAGAGGCAGAACACTGTTGCTTTATCTACTACAGAGGCTGAGTACATGGCCTTAACACATGTTGTTAACAAAGCTATTTGGCTGCAGAGGTTGTGCAAAGAGCTTGGCTTTGCACAATGACAGATGATCGTTGGGTGTGATAGTCAAAGCGTCATTTTCTTGACTAAGAACCCAGGTTTTCATGCGATGACCAAACATATCGGCATATAGTATCACTTCATTAGGGAGAAGATTGAAGACAAGGTTGTATTGCTGGAGAAAGTTGACACAAAGGTCAACAATGCTGATTTTCTAACCAAGGCAGTGACTTCAAAGAAGTTTGAATGATATACTGTTGCATTGGGATTGAAGAAACATGTGAAGCATTCATCAACCGAGAGAATGTTGTATATGGCACATACTTCGTATGTTGATGAGAGCCCTTGTTGTTGGGG